ACTTTGATAACAAATAAAACAAAATTAAAAATAGGTCTAACAATAAAATGGAAAATAATAAATATTCTTTAAGTTTTAGTTACCATAGTAACTTCTTAGTTTAATTCTAGGTGGGTCCTAAATTTAAGTCTTCTAAATCATCAGTGTTGATAGTGTTATCAATTATGGCTACAGATCGAACGTAGCTTTTTGATTTATTTGGGTTGTAGACGTTTCGGCTGTGTGTTATAAATTATTTAATACCTAATTGAAATAATACCTGTATATTTTAATGTTTGTTAGAACTATTTTTGTTTGCTTTAAAAATATGCATACAACTATAAAATATTTGTGTACCCCTACTTTTGCTCATCAGGCTTTTGGGTAGGGTCTATCCATTGATAATGTAAAACTCAACTCTGCATAATATTGTAATGAAAATTATTTAAAAAAATGTATTACACACCCATAACCATGCGGAAGATATGAAGATTTTAAGAAACCGCCCGCTAGGTGAATAACATAAGTATCTCAGTCATCACATTCGTCAGATATATCCGAAAATTATTCATGTGATATTTCAATCCGCGAAAGCTTCAACACATTCATATCTAAGTCATATTAGCGTTTTCGCTTTGTTTAACTACGCTGTGATATTTTTTACTCAAGGTTGTTGCTATTTACAAAAAATTAAAAATTCACTGTGATCTCTATACTAGTTTTTCATTATTATCACTGCGTACACAGTAACTTCAGAAACCACGATTTCCGGCAAACGATCATTATTTTTGTTCTTCTAGTGATTTACATGAAAACTTAGACACGCTAAAATCGACCCTGTAGGATTAATCGTCGTATCATTCGGGTGTCTTTAGCTTTATTGCCATTATTCACCGCAACTTTTTTGACGGCTGCGTCGCTAGATAATATATGTGAGCCTGTTATTCGGCCAGTGGCTTATATTTAGTATATTATATCATAGTATTTTGATAATTCATAATAATCATCTCTACTCATCGAATCAAGTTCACTTAAAAATGTTTGAATAAATGATCACTGTCCACCGAATGAAATCCGTTAGTCTTGCTGGATTGTTAATAAATGCATTATGCACCAAAAAATTGCATTAACCGATTAACTGTAAGCTTGCGATTTCCATTAAACATTATAAACCTTATAAAATTCTGTAGAAAATGTATTGTGTCACTATTCGTACAAATCATGTTAGTTAATACATAATAAACTACACGGATATGTTTAGATATGGTCAATGGTATTATCCGAATGTTAATATTTGAATTATAGGAAGTTGTATGGGACTTTGATTCTTAGACTATTGCTGCAATGTAGGTATTCGAATGTGATATATTATAGTTTCCAAAGTTTACAAACAGGCTATTGTGGTTCGCCATAGGCGCACTTGGTTAAGTAAAAGCAAGTAACTAACACAAAGTAGTAAATACTCGTGTTTATATGCATACTAACTGGCATAAGATGCGTATTGAGATTAGTATTGTTAACAGTGATGGGATTCCGGATTTTCAAAAGAAATGCTATTTAAGCCATTTAAAAGTATTAAATATTATTAGAATAGGTATAGGTAAGGTGTACCTAAATAAACTGTATGATAAAAATTAAAAAAACGTTTAACTTTGTCTTCTTGATGTTGTATTTTATTTTTATATTTTCACGAAAAAACATTTTTCTTAGGTACACAACTTTATGTTATAATAATATTTAATACTTAAAAGATTTTTAAGTGGCTTAAATAGTGTTTTTTTTTTTGTGAAAATACGAATTTTTAGAATCTCATCACTAATTCTTAATCAATGATGTAATTTTAGATTAATGTAATTTATAGTAGTTCGAGATATCCGCTATAGTATATATTTTATACAAAAGTGGATATCTTGAATGTATATAAAAATCCACATCTATCGTCTACACATCGGGTACACACCAATAGTGTTGTCTTTATAGTTATCATTCGCTGTAACTTTTCTAATGTAGTTTCCAAAATAAAAAATTACCCAAGACATAAAGTAAGTCTAGCTTATTAATAAGAGATTGCAAATATAACGATTTTTTAAATATTGGGAAATTTGTCTTCTCTGCGTCCCACAAAAATTCTATACTCCCAGATTCTTGACTGTCAGCGTCGAATATCTTCTTTGGCGTGATTGTCATGGTGGAAATCTGCAGAGTATCATTATAATAAAATTAAACTGCAGACAAAGACAAATTTTTTTTTCCGGCCGTAGCCAGAAAATTTATACTGGGGGGCCAACAATTTTGGGCCCTTGTATCATTTCAAAATAAATATAAAATATAATATGTAACCCGACGAGACAGTTACGCGCTCCGGCTAATTTCAGTGGCTTTTACGATTCGAAACGAGTTTTTTTTTAGTCGTTGATAATAAAAATAATAGTTGATGATCACTTTTTCGGGCATTCTAACCCCCGGGGAACGTCGTGCGTTAATCTAAATATTATACACTGAATCCCACCACAAGTGTGGTGGTCGGTCGTATTTTAATATAAAACATATTGCCCGCTGAATTGACTATAATAGGCGCTCAAAACTAATTTCACGGACTGTCGATTTCGGTTTGATGATTCCTACCGGATTTTCATACAACCTTTTTGGGTATGTAAATTTACTAACACTCGATAACCCGTCCAGTCAGCCTGACGATAACATTTAATATTATTTCGTATAATAATAAAAAAATGGTTATTATGATGTCATCAATATACATTTATGATAATAGTTAACATCATTTTTTAATATAAATAGTAACAATATTAATATTTAATGTGTGTACTACTCATGATATATACTATGCTACTGTACTACTATGTTCTTTAAAAGTATTGTTTTATTCCTTGTAAAATGTAATCGACAATACTTATTAGGAAAGTATGTATGAATAAAAAAACAATACTAATTGAACCAGGTTGACCCGGTTGTAGATCTGGTGGAGTCCAATGTAAAGCAGTGTTTGAAAAATTGTTTACACTCTTAACATTAAAATTGGTCTGATTTTTAATTTCATTGATTTCAGGTATAAAAAATTTGAGGGTGTAAAAAAAGGTCAAACGTGTTTTTATGTTGGACTCGACCAAACCGTTTAAAAAAAAGAAAATAGGCTAACATAATTGAAACAAGTTGTACGAAAGGACGAAAACTATAAAAGACGATCAAAGATAATAGAGGTAGAATAGAAATAACCTAATGTTTTATTAGTCATTAAGGCTCGTGAAGGTAAAGATGTGGTGGATGACGGACATATATTATATAGCAAGACTTGTAGTCGATCACGCTTGTTTGGAATTAAAAGAAGAAAAAAAAATATAAGACAATTTTTTTACTTAAACAGTAGTAGTTACAACTAAACTACAGTCGAGTCATTTTTTCGTAAGCGAAAATGTAAAAAGAAATCATAAATATTTACTATAGTTTTACGAAGTTAAAAAGTATTTTAAAACGGTTACTGTTTGATGTGCATTGTAATAAAAAAACATTTAAGCCAAATATATATTTACAATAATATACATTTTAAGGAAATTTTGGTCAAATACATAAAATTATATATTTTAAGTCTGTGTAAATTAATATAGTGAAGTTGTTCTTCAAATTTGAGTGAGTGTACATTTTTTATTTTATTTGCAGCTTGTATAATGTACAATTTTTGAGATTTGAATATTTTGTTGGTAATTTTTTAAGAAGGGATTTATCTAGTTTTATATTATTAATGTCTTTTTTTCTATACCTATAAAAAATGTATTCTTTGATTGTACAAAATGTATTTAAAAAAGCGGTCAATAATCGAAAATGTGACGAAATGCAACTTGATAATATGTGTATTGAACTTGTTGGGGTGATGAAAAAATAGGATTCGAGTTCAAAGACGAGTTTTTCTTTTCAAAAGGTGTTATATTTAAATTAATCTTTCGACATGAATTCAAAATGATAATATTATACGCGTGGGATTTATTGAAATTGGATAGTGGGTATCACTTGTGTTAAACAGGGAATATATTTGTTTGAATTTCATTCGAAATAAATAAATGAAAACGATTTTTTTGTTGTAATTTTAAAGACTTGCACAAATAACATTTAATGAAATTGTTTTTTAACTTGGTGAAATTGAATACTTTTACCCGGTACTGAATGTTTTTTTATTAAAATACCATTCAAATTAAATACTATGCGAACTACTCAACGTTTGTAACTTGTTAAAATTAGTAATTAAATATATAGCTATTCATGTTATGATAATTACTAACGGGACTTTTAACTGAACAGTTAAGTGTTTATCAATGTAACACAAAAGTACAGGGTGTCACACAAAGATAAGACAAATTAAATAACTAAATATTTTCAAGATATGATTTTTAATAAGTTTATACTCATTTGTGCTATAAGCACCACCAAGTTCTTTATTGCACTTAACTATTTTACTTTTTAACTAGTTTTTTTTTTTTACACTAATTTGATTAAATTAAAGATAGCCATTTTATTAAGAATAATTTGCTGATAATGTTGACTGGTCGACAACCAGTTTTGGATAATTACTTTTAAGTTTAAAGTTTAGAATGAGAGGTGCAGTATCATTTTGTATACCTACATATTAAGTATAAAATATCAATTTTTTTCTTCTAACTTCTTAAGAATTATTATAATTCAGAAATATTCAAATTTTTTATTATAATTCAAATAAATGAGTTAAACATACCATGTAATTTTTATTAACGAGTCATGTATAAAACGGTTATGTATAAAATAAATTAAGAACAAAAGGCTTATTAAAACTAATAATCGGTTAAAGCAGTAATACATTAAATAACTACGAACATTTGATACGGAAAAAACATAATTTTTATAAATCACAGTATGTATAGTACATTAATTCGTTCATCATATTAATAATATTATAATAGCTAAGTTGATATTTTATTAATTCAGTTCAGTTATGAAAAACATTATAAGAAGTACAATAGATTATGAGAAGTATAAATGTAATTGCTTAAAAAACATAACTTTATTTTGCAAAAATTGAGTCAATCAAATGCATAAGTTGTCTTTTAAATCGTACCTATTTTACATTAACGCGGTTTATAGTCGTAAAAATATCAATAACCTTTTAATTTTTAAGGAAAAACTTCACACGTAATGGATTTTATGCAAGCCGTGGGTATGGTGTTCTTTTCGAATATCGGCCACCTGAGGGCCGTTCGGGTATTCTTGATGGTGAGGGCCGGGATACGAGCTTTGATACTCTTTTAGATAGAATCCCTTCGGTTGTTCCATCGGATATTCTTTCGGATCTCCGTTGTAATATTCCCTAGGGTTCTCCTTTTGATACTCTGCCGTATAGCCTTGTTCTTGAACCGCGGCGTTCACGTTGTAGTGTTTTGGATAATCTCTACGGTATCCCGTCAGATAGTCGTCGAAGTCTTCATTGTTGTTGGTGCCGTCAAAGGTCATCAAATGACCAATTTTTCGCAACAGCTTAGCGACGAACCTCCGACGGTGGTAAGCGCACTTTGCCGGAAAATGTCGGCAAAACAATAATGTCCTCTTCGTACGGTGACCGTTTCCTTCGGATACAGCCTCTGTCGGTAACAGGCCCATTGCCGCTTGCATGATTTCATACTCTGTGGTGTTAAGCATGTTTCCAGCACCGTCGATGTTCACCTCTACCGTTTTTTTTCTACCCAATTGTGTTTGGTACTGCCTGTTATACAACGATAAAGTTATTGTTTTAGTTAAATAATGGGTTAGTATATTGTTTAGTTAGGATGAAATTCACAGGAAGAGCAACAAATTCCCAGTCGATTACAAAATACACAATAGTACAAAATGTGTTATGTTAGGTTAACGTACATATGTACATCAGAACCTGATACCTATGACAACATAAATGTATGCCAGAAGATATAAGATATAATATGATATATTTTTGGATAGGATGTTACATTTAGTTAAGTAATAGCACTCACTTCGACGTTAGCATGCCCGTAAGAAAATAGCTGTATTAATATAACAAAGACAATTCCACTTCCTAGGCACCATTATATATTGTACTCCTCGTCCAATTTTTAATCAAAGATTTATAGCCGACAAAACATTATGCCTTATTTGGTAATAATACAAAACTGTGAACCAATCATTAAGTATACTATCATCTTGTGCTCGGGGTTGAAAAATGTTCTCTTTACTATTAATGCAGTTAATTAATTATTATAGATATCTCAGTTCTATCTTTAAAAATGAATTTTCACTATTTAACAATTTCCATAATTTTCTAAGTAGTCCTATGCGGTATACCTTGTTACTTATTATATACAATTTTTACCCCCCCCCCCCCGAATTCTCCAATTAAATTTAATCCTTATCATAACATTAAAAAAGTATATATACATTTTAGACTAACTCAAAAAAAAATTGTTTCGCTACTATTTAAATCGTTTTTGTTTGTCAAAAAGGAGAAATGGTCCCTATAGAACAATATTTTTTCCATTGATTAACACACACAGAATACATTTTTCATTAAAATCGTCATAACTTTAAACCTTGTAGGCATTTTTAAAATTTTAAAAAAGATTCTTAAAGCCGACATTTGTACCTTTAAAATATTCATAAACGATTATAGTATTTTCCATTTTTTAATTATTAGTCACAATGACTAAAAGTTTGTCAGTTCAACAATAATCAAAGACTAAAAATAAATGTATATGTTTCATTAAACCATGGTATCTATCAGTAAAAATGAACAAGTTTGAATGTCTAGTAAAGCATATTAAAAGTGAGTGTCAGCTTTCAGAATATTTCTTTTTTAATTAAAAAAAAATTATAAGTCTTGAAATTGATGGCGATTTTAATTAAAAATACATGTTTACATGTTAATCAAAAAGGAAAAATATGCTTCTATAGGAACCACTTAGAGTTGACTTAGAAGGCTTACATTTTTTAAAACCTCTTCTTTTCGTGAAATAAAAACTATTCAGGGAGGTGAAAATTTATCCTGGACTACCTAATATATATTTACTAATCGCCAATAATACAAAGACAATACAAAATCATGTTTATCTATAAAAACTAAAACCAATACATTTTGATTTTACCACAGAAGTGATGTTATATTATAAAGATAATACTCACATACATATATAACTATACATAATAACTATTAAACTAAAATTTATTAAAAATTAAAATATTAAATACTAATCGCAAAAGTAAAATGCATGTTTTGATATGTCACGCAAAACAGTATAACATTTTATTTTTGGACTAATTTTTGAATACTAATAATTTTTTCCAAATCTATAATTATTTTTCCAAAATCTAGTGAAATTAGTAGTTTTATCTTACTGCTTTTTTTTCTTTGTTATATATTTTACATTCATAGTAAATACTTATTATACGTTAGTTTTACTTATACACAAATACACATAAACATGTAATTATAAACATTTATGATGGCAAATATTTGATTTATCTACGGTCGATTGATGATGGGATGAATATTTCCTCCGATTGTGTTGACCGATGACAGGTCGCTGGTTCCGATTCCAACCACGTAAGACTTTGGGCAGCATTTGACGTTGTACACTTGACACGGTCTGGGATGAGCGCTGGATTTGTTTGGCTTGATTTTACAATACTCGTCCAACATACAAATACCTTGCGACCCATCGTCCATCGTGCAAGGCTCGGCTGTCGAAAATCAGTTTAAGAAGAGCTTAAGTTAATAACAATGCCAAGTTTGTAACAAAAATAATACAATACAGTTATAAAATATTAATTGAATAAAACAAACAAGTAGAATAGGCGCGTTGAAATTTGGACATACACAACACTACAACTGACAACTGATAAACGTTAGAATTTTCAGTTTTAAACTAACCGATCAGTCAATTTGAATATATTATAAGAAGGTTTCCCATCTAAATTTTGCGTTAATAACCCAAACGAATGTTTGAATTTTAATTTAAGAAAAAAACAAGCTAGAATTATATAACGCTGTTCTGACCTTGATTTCTTAATACCTACCTAAACAATCATTGCAATTTTAAAGTTTGAAATTCGGCCATGAACAATCAAATATACTTTTTAAATTTAAGGATAACATATAACAATATTAATCTTGTTATTTATGGAACAAGTAATGTCCTTTTTCATTAATACGAAGAAATAATTTCATGGATCGTTTGATAAAATACGTCTTAATAAGCGTTTCCTTACCTAAATCAGGAAAATATTTTCAGGGTTTTCTTATAATATTTTATAATTTTTTTTTTACAAAATCCTTGCAAAAGTAAAATATTATACATTTATATTTTAATTAAAATATTATAAATAGATGGTAACAATGATCTAGTAGAAAAAAATGTATCGCATGTAATTTTACTTTGGATGGTAATAAATTGTATGTACCTAAAAAAATTGTATTATAACATAATATTGATTAACAATAACCGATTACAATGAAATAATATTATAATAATTAAAATAATAATAATATTAATATTTAAAAGGCAAAATATATTATTATGTTTGTTGAATTGTATATTAGCTAATAATAAGTTGTTCAAAAAATTCTTTGGGATTTAATTTTTTTAATTTTTAATCGAGTAAGTATGGTAATTTAAATGAAAAAAAAATAAGACTCGAGAATTTTAGGAGTTTGTTGCAAATAGGAAAAAAAAATAAAATGCTACACACTTAAAACGAGAAAATAGATATTTTTCTTAGCTTAAATATAAGATATTATTCAGGTAGATCGCTGTCATACCATGCGGTATGGTTTGAATTTGAAAAAAGATCTTATAACGCTTAATTTGAAAGGTTCTGTGCAACTATAAAATAAAGCAAGTCGATTCTATCTTCACTAGAAAGAACTTTTCAAAAAGATACTAAATATGGGTTTAAAAAAAATTTTAGTTTAAAAAGTTGTCAATTTTAGCTATGTTTCTTTCCAATAGGAAATCTTCGAAACTGATAAACGGATTTTCTTGTTAAGGATTTTATTAGAATCGCCTTGATATGTAGAAAAGAAGTGAAAAGTTTAGACACACACAATTTAGACTGACACAGTTCATTTACTACAGCTTTAAAGTTGTATATCATTAATTAATAAATAAAAAGCTAAAGTTACCTACATAAACATATTTTTTACAAAAAAAAAAAAAATAATAATTCTCTTTTAATTAAAATCAAGACAATTTGTAATGCAATGAGGTTTTCTTTACCTATGTGGAACTCATAGTTAATTAAATAAGCTATATTTAAAAACCGAGATTGGTTTGTAAACTATACATGCACAGCGTTTTAAATGAATATGGCGGCACAGCGGAGCGATTTAATTAAAGAAAGCTAACAGTATAAGACAAGGATTTGCTGTACAAATCCGGGTACTTATTACAATCATAATTTCAGTATGAGCGGCTCAAGAATTACAAGAATACCAAAGATGAAACAAAGTCAACCCTCGGTTTTCGTCGTAGAATTATAGCCGGATTTATTATCCAAGAGGAAATCCGCCACTCCGATGTCGGTTTCTTATATTACTTCTGCTTGCAATCGCATATTATATGTTACAACATGTATAGATAAAGCGGAATACGATTAACTGATAGCTATTACTCATCATTCGTGGGCCAAAGCAGGGGAGAGTAGGTTTATGGAAGGTTAAATGGAAGACGAATCTTCGCTCAAAACTTGCACAGCATTTATCATTTGTCATAAAGAAGCCCTACTAAATGGTTTCCTAAGCAATGTTATGCTGGGACAGTGTTAAAGATAATAATATTCAGCTGACTTACCGCATATACGTTCGCACATTTCTTTGGATACCGGTAAATTAGTATTGAATGGACAATTGTGTACTCCTCCTGCGGTGTATAGAGGTCGACAAGACTTGAAAGGCGGATGGAAAAACCAAGCGGCCACTTGATAGTCCATGATCGGATAAAGCGAAGCGTTGCAACCGGTTATCTTTGGCACGTGACATCTTGAGTCTACAAAAAAATAACAAACATTAATTTCAATTTATAAGTACTTAAGAAATTAAAACGCTTACATTTTAACAAATATTTATAGTACCTATTTTTTTTAAGTAAGACACAATAATAGAACTAAAAACAGCTTATGACTTATAATAATAATATAATTGTTATTAGTTATCGTAACAAAAGCGGCTTTTTTATATCGTTTTTTATAAACGATATTTTAACTCGATGTTAAAATTACCCCTAAAAAAATCTACTAGTTTTAAAGTGTGTGTTTGCCAAAAACATATGTACACTTTTTATTCTACATCAATATTGTCGTTCATAACTATTGATAAACATAGTAGTATTAAGTTTAAAACTGTTTATAATAATGTTTTTCGTGTATACGAATTAGTGCCTGTGATTTTAAACGTGTAATTTAAATACACGTGTACATGAACCCCATGTAATTAACATACACGTGTATATACACGTGTAATTATAAATACACGTATATTTAAAAAAAATTATTTTGTCAAAAATTTTAGTTTGAGTTAACGTATTTACACAATTATACTTGTGTTTGAGTTCTTATGATTAAATATACGTGAAACTAAAATTAATAACAAAAATAAATTTTTTTGAATACACGTGTATTTATAAATACACGTGTATGTTAATTACACGGGTTTCACGTGTAATCAAATACACGTGTAATAGGGACCTCTAATACGAATATATATAACCAAGAGAAGTTAATCGCACGATAAAAATTTAACTAATGTACTGTATTTTAATTTAAATACACTTAATGGATTCAAACCTATACTTTTGTTTAATCTTATTATTTTTGCTATGATAAATAAGAGTAAAATTATTGGTATTACTAGCATTTAGCACATAATGAATATTTATTCGTCTGGTTTCATTCCCCTAGAGCAATAATTTATTCCGGTATTAAGTTCAAGAAAATATTGTTTATAATTATAGTATACGATTAAGAATATGACTGTTGATATGAATATGTCTTTTAGAGTGAGGGGGGGTCTATCATAAGTGAAATTCTAAGATGAACTGAAATAAAATAAATCATTCACCTTGATTAGACCTTTTTGCGCTATCTTGAATCGATAAAGATACAGAAACACAGAAATAACATGGTTGATTCAAAATCAACTTAAAACTAAAAAAAAAAAAACGACTAAACGCTTTATCTGTTGTTTTGGCTAGGATCAATCGGTTCTTTTACACAATAACAAAATTGATTTCTTGATATTTTATAAATTTACTAGCGTCCTTTTAGATTACGTTGCAGACTTTTTTGTGAAATAGAAATTAGACATGAATGTTTTGTTTTTGTTTGATAACTAAACCGAAGCGAAAAATCTTTAATCACGTTTTGCTTTTGAATTGCAAAGTCAATAATTTGATTAAATATGTATATATGACTACACTCGCATCCAGATAGAACCTTTCAGTGATTTTAATAACTGAATATTTTTGAAATCAACTCAATATAATAAATCAGTTATTTTTAATTTGAAACATTTATTACACTAGAATTTCAAATAAATGTCTTAATAATATAGATGATGTTTACCTAAAAAATACTTTCATTGTCGCACTATAAAGCGAAGGTAGTTTCAACCCTTAAAAACTTTTAAAACTACCTAAGAATTTCGTTAAAAATTAAAAATTTATATCAACACGTCTGAATGAATACCACCCAAGTAACATGAAAATGGCGAGTGGTACATTTTAAACGAATTTACGATTAAGTAAGTCTCTTTTATGGCTTCTTCCATTGACTCCGCCTAATCGTTTTGGCCGCTAGATCTTCCAAAACGTCCGGCTAAACCCTGTACATGGACAAACGTTATCGCCTGTAAGCACCCAAGACCGGATAGATTTTGTGTAATATATAAGACGTGCGGTGTAGTGCGGGCGGCGGCTCGATTAGGTTAGGGCGGCGGAAACCATTAAAACTTTTAACGTTTCAAAAGACCAAGACGGAGCTTCTTAATTCCCAAAAGCCTTTTTTGTTCTACCGTCTCTATATACAACGCCATCGTCAGCATGCCGTTTTCTCCCATCCCTTCGTGCCACCACTGTTAAAAGTGTACTTTTTCCCGCCGTCCGACGCAACGCTGTTCTTTGTATACACACACCGGGCTATCTAAGATAACTGAAGCGGGAATACTGTATAATGTATATAATATAAAAACCAAGATCGCTCGCTTGTTTCCCGGTCGGATCCTTCACTCTGGACATACTTCAAAAAATTACTCGCCCGAATAAACATAGATATACCGGGTGTTTTATTTAACGTAAGACACTCAATTTCTCGGGAAATAATTACAATTTAGCATAGTTTTCCTGTTTTAATACTTTTTTTGTTAATGATATTGTACAGTATTATAAAATTAACTAATATTTACCTTGTTTAGTATTTTCCAGAGCACTATCAACTTTTGAAACTTAAATGATATGAGTACATATTTAATTAACTTTTAAAAATAAGAATAATTTACTGAAAATGTTGACTGGTCGATAACCTGTTTTAATAATTACTTTTAAATTAATTACAGTTTAAAATTTAGAACTGCATGAAGGGTAAGTGTATAGTATTATTTTTATTTGCGCACATTACTTGACCGCACATCATTCTACCTCACATCTTAAGTTTAATTCTCAAAAAAGTTATTATTAAAAACTGGTTATCGACCAATCAACATTTTCAGAAAATTATTCTTACTTTAGAAAGTTAATTAAACATAGCATATATATCCATAAGTTCCAAAAATTGAAAGCGTTCTGGAAAATTCTAAAGATGTTAAATATTTATTAATTTTATAATATTGGTCTTACAAAGAAAAACATTCCCTTCTCAGTTCCGCATCGAATCTAAAACTAAAAAATTGTAATTATTTTCTGAAAAAAATATGTTTGTCTATCGTTCAATGGATCACCCAGTATATTATACCATTCACGGACGTTGTGGTTTTTCAAAGAGGGCCCGGTGAAAAAGGGCGATTAATCGAAAAGTCTGCCGGATCAAAAAAACCAACAGCAGGCGGTTTACTTTTTTTTTCATACCACTAGACATTCGAGTTCCGTCCGCAGTGACCGGGAAAGGAAATTACGTTTTATGAATAATTGCCCAGTGTTACCGATAATACCTACATAATATTTTATATATTAGGAATACAGTAAAACAAAATACCAATCCTATATTGCTAAATACACTATCCATATAATAACTTAATGATGAAACATGATTGAGCCGAGTTATAATTATTGTTAAAATATTGTAAAAATCAATATCCTATAAATCAGTTACTAGTAATTTAAAAAAAATCAAACTATTGATATTTTTGCTATGGCTTAGTATGAGTATAACGCAAGCGTAGATATTTATTTTAGTTGACATTCTCTAAATGCATGTCACCCTAAAGCTGCTCTTGGTCCTCTGAATTCGTGTAACGCATGGATCAAAATTGAACATTCTTTGAGAACCATAATATGTAATTAAGAAAAGACAGTTTTTAAACACATTTTGTTTGTTTTAAATAATCTTTATTTTGTATCGAATTTTATGTGGTGTATTTTTTTTAACTGCTGCCCTGAAAAATTTTGGCTTTTAATAAATTAATAATTTATTACGTTTTGGTAAAAAGTTTTAAATAGTTTGGTCTAACCATTTAAACAAATTATAAATAAAACTAACGCTTTATCAGCTTATCTACCAATAAAACCCAATTCTTAAGCATTGGCGTATATTATTAATTACATTTAAAACAATACGACAATAGAGTACAAATTGAAATTATTATTATTATTCAACAAAAGTTCTTATTGATACTATAAGATTTCATTTTTAGTATATGAAGGATACATGGAAAAAACCAGCCAAGTCACTTTTTAAAAATGGCAATTCTTTGTTTTAAAATTCGTTTTGATACAAAAAGTTTTAAGTATTTCTTTAATATTTTAAAACATATTTTAGCATTACTTAAACATGTTTTTCTTAGATTAGAAAAAAGCAACTTTGCTGGTTTTGTTCCCTGATCCCTTCATATACATTTGTATAGTATATAACACAGGCAAAAATATATATTTTAAGTAACATTTCCTGACTAAATACGATAACACAATGTCACTATATTGTTTATTGTGCTGATTGCGTAAACTATTTATAGTTAAAAGATTAAAGAACATTATTATTACGTATTTAAACGATTATTTTTTTTGAAAAACTATGACGATTCATTATTACTTATCGGTAATTTAAGTATACCGTCAATCGTTTTTGTCTTACGTCATTTTACCTTGATTATACAAGTCTGTATGGCGATATAAAAAGACATTATCTATGTAATATTTATTATTATTATTATTGTTATATTAAATTACGTTTCAATCAAAAAAGTAAAACAACAATAAACGTAGGTAAGCATATTTGATTATATTATTATACGTCCGATTTTCGAAAAACGTATAAGCCCGCTGGTAAATTACTTGAACTCGTGGAGAGTTAATAATATTAGAATAGGTTAAGTGTACTAAGTAAAACATAAAAATTAACGAGTATATAACGTGATAATCGATGAACCGAATTTATGTACCGAGAAAAATGACGTTTGTATTGCAAATTTGTTTTTTATTTTTAACGCAAAGTTGAGAAGGTATTTTTTTTCATAATGAAGTCTTTTTTTCTATTTTCGTGTTTTTGCCCACGGTATCTCCTAAGCCGCTAAATCAATTCATTTATGTATCAACAATCGTATCTGTAAGATAATTTATTGAACTAAAAAGTAAATTATTTAATACAACTAAATTAAACACACCATAAAAATGTACACACTTTTTATGTTAAATTTACAGCGTGCTATAATATTTTTAAAAACAGTCTAATTACTTCCAAAAATATAGTCATTTTTTACATATTTTTTGTATTTACATTCTTTAAAAAAATTACTACTGATATACAGTAAAAACCCAAGAAAACATAATTACCCCTTTCCTACAGAATGGGTCAATATATTTCCTTTATTTCGCTTTTTGTACGTGTAAGTTTAAGGAGTTAAATCTAATTAAGCCGAATGTAGATGTATAGTTTTACAATAACATCATAAATGTGAATAATAAATGCATATTTGTTTATAGTTGATAATTTAAAAAAAAAAAAAAACTAAATGTTGGCTTATTATTCGTGAATGTTCATTAGCAGAATCGTGACCATGTAGATTTATTATTATATTATTTGATAGACTACACGGTACGTTTAAGACGAAAACAAAGTATAAAACTTTAACGGGTTTAAGCGCATTCTCACACAGAAAGAGTTATCAAACAAAAGCATATGAACACAGTATACGCAATTACATACGGGCTATTATTGTAGAACTATTTTCCGTTTCATTATAATTAACGTGACGCGTTTAGTATTATACATTATTTTATGATGAGTAATTAAATTTTCAACGTCCTGGGTCGTGACGTAATAATATTTTACCGTGCAATATTCTTGCTTCATATATTATAGATTTTAATAAAGTAAAATGTGTTGCACATGTAGATGAAACTTCCAGGATAGTAAGACGACAACAATAATATTTGGGCGGTGACACCCATTACGACTGTGGTAGTTATCCACCCGTTATATTTTAATGTTGTATAAATTATAATAATATTATGCGAAAACGTGACGCATATAACTTTATATTAGACTACAATTAGCTGTGAAGTTATTTCTAAGTGCCTAAGCGATTTAAGTTGATTTATTTACCTTGTTTAAAAAAAATTCACGGGTACTGACGTGTTTTTGATTACCGACGAGATAAATTCAAATATTTACTCGACCAAAACAGCGAACGTCAACTCTCATAATGCCATTTTCTCTTCCACCCCTCTCCTCACCCCCATCGTCAGTGTATAAATCGCGTATCCCGCTAACTGATTTGCCCACGATTGTTTTTCTCGGTCAAGTCTTGCACGGACAAGGGATATATTTTCCAGGCTATAATTTCCCTTGGGAATGTTTTTCGATAACCATTACAGCACTATATTTTTATGTACCTAGGTGTAATATATATATATATATATACATTGGAAGGAGATAAAACCGTTTATTAAAATATTCGACGGACTGCCCGACTTAGAGGTTGCCTTACAGCTTAAAAGTAATGATAAAATGAAATACTAATAATTGTACCTCTGCATATAATATTATGTATACTTAAAAGTTCTAGATAATAATTAATTAAATTTAATATACAATGTAATTGTAATAGATGTAAATAATAAGAATGTATAAAAATAAAATATGAAGTATAAAAAAAATAAACATGTTTAGTACTATCTCAAGCATAAAAATTATAATGGATTATCCCAAACGTGCCTTTTAAAGTCTCGGACCAATTTTTAAGCCGTGGTCCCTAAAAAAACTACACAAGGGACTCAGAAGCTGACCCGAACCATAATCCTGCCAGTTTTCACTTATTGATGGGGTATTTTAGCCGGAAATATAATAGCTAAATAATTGTCTAAATATCGTTAAAAACCAGTTAAAAAAAGAAGGAGAAAATTTAAGACTGAACAAATTCAAGAATGTTGTTGTTGTTCTTTGATTGGAAGTAATATCTAGTTAGCCGAGTGCTGACGCTCACACTTCATATATAAATAAATAATAAACCAATAACGTTGTTTTAAATGACATTAGGATTTAGGACTTTGTCTGGGTAAATTGCATATTGCCAGAAAACGAGAAACTTATTTATAATAGAAATATTATACTATTGTTACTTATAATATAGGCAATGCATAATATAGTAATTATTATTTGTAGTTCATGGATGAATGCATACCTAACAAACGTCATAAACTATAATAATATATTGTTTAGACTTTAGACCATATTATATGGACACGAGGTAATTGATTTATGCGGTTTTCGGAGTATCCGACTTGTATAAATTTAAGTGATTATAATTATTTTGGCGATGTGTAGCGGATCAATATTAATTTTGTATTATATCAACAACGTAGTGATAAATATAAGTTATATAATATAGTAAAGAAAACCCTTAACCATAAAAAAAATTCATTCTATGTGTTCGGCAACAATGTTGTCATCTTCAGCGCTAACGACAGACTAACTCTCAATAAGTTAATGTCGATAAGTTGCTTAAAGTTTTTATATATATATATATATCAAATATATTGTTACATTTGAATATAGGTATTACATTTCAACGAGCTATTAGTTTGGTAGCTACAGTTTATGTTCAGTGCAAACAGCCATGATTCTGTTTTAGTTTTACTATTTGTGTTTGTCTTAACCATAGCATAGCGTTGTCTGTATACGAGGATTGGAGTTTAATTAACTTTATTATACTTATATATATATATATATATATATATATATATATTCTCTATGTATAGTTTTCAGTGTTTTATGCACATTGCTAAGGTATGTGTGTTAACGTCAGGTTAGGTAAATAAATTGAAAAACAATTTAGGAATTTCATTCCAGTTGAATGTTTTAAAAAATAATGCCATTGTTCAACGGTCGAATCGTTGGCATTCTCTACCAAGAACGGTTAAATAAATATGATAAAGTCCTAAAATTAATTTATACGAAAATGCTATTTATGTACTCATAATAGCAATAATATGCGAATTCCATCAGGTCTCGGCACTGTATAACAACAACTGCAGCACGGAGTTGTTGAACATCGGTATTGCGGTCACGCGCCGGCAATAAGATGTCATACGTTTTTTTTCTGTTCTACCGAATTACTGTTTTGTATTATTTATTTTCTGTACTGTCGTGGTAAATCAAAATCGCGAACGACACTGGTAATATAAAATATTAACTCTGAAAATACAGGAAACTACAATCGTGCAACTAAATTATAACTTAGAACGGACAGGATTACAAAATACAAGTAGGTAGTCGGTTCTATAAATATTACAAAATATAAGTCTTGGCCAATGATTTTAGTGTGATAGTAGAAAATTAATCGAGATTATGAGCCCGTTCAGCCATAAAACTGCTCTTAAACAGTTAAAATATATAGGGGGAAAAAATGAAATCCTAATTGACAGCTATTATTATAGTATCTATATAATGTACTATGGAAACGATGTTAAACACAAAAAAAAAACACTAGCCTAATTGAGAAGATTTCTCAGCCACCCTTTATTTAGACCGTTAGGAATTTCAAACTAGGCAGGTGATTTTATATTAAAACTATCGTTTAAATGAATTAGTTGAAGGTAGAGGTAAACGCTCGTAAGGTAGTATTGAGGCTACCAAGATTTGTTGAACTTTTTTTGTAGTTTTTAACTTCTCTTTATATAGAGCGACAATTAGAAACGGCTACAAATAAATTAAGTTATTACATAAGACAAAACTTACTGTACGCAACGAAGTGCTAATATTCAACATTTGTAAAGATATTAATTAAAAACAGTGTTCGTGTAGATCGAGTTAAAAATAATATCACACACCTAGATCAAAACTAACAACTCAAAAAGTGGGTATTTTTAGTTATTTGTGTATTCAGATTCTACAAACGAAGTTTCATGAACCAACTAAACAATTTTTTATTTATCTTGATTACTACCCAAAATATAGCGCTGTAGGTACCTTTTGTAAAAATGACTAATCCCATAATCCTAACTACCAAAACCGTTTAAAATTTTAGTTTCTACCCGGACACCAAACTGAGTGCATGTACGGTTATTGTAAAAAATTGTTTTATTAAAATAAACAGTTAAAGTAATTAAACGTGAAAATAGGTTTTTTGGATTTCCTGAAAAAATATGTTTTTCGAGTTGCTACAGTTTTGATCTAGGTATGCGATATAATATGAACAAAAAAAAAACTGTGTGAAACCCCCTTTGATATTAAAATACCTATTTAAGACTATGAAATTATGGTCCCTGATAGGCTGTTTTAATGCAAATTGTGTTACTTAGAAGTTACGCAAATAGTCCACATATTCTAATAACTATACAATTTCAACAACTAGTTAGGTTAGATAAAGGTATTTTTAAGTATTATCATAACTCATATTTTATGACATTCATAACGAAACGGAACTAACGATTAGGCGTTTATTTCGGAACAGTTAACTATGACAGGATAATTCAATGGGCCCAACTCAGTTATAGTTTAATAAAAATATCTTACCTTTGTTTGGGCTGATTGCGAAGTAGTGATTGTTTTGGCCGGCTTGTACGGCTATCAACACGGCGGCTGTAGTCATTAGGACACACCATGTGGCGATCATGATCACAATAGCGCCGGTATCAGAAATCGCCAAATACACCTATTTCGGATTAAACCAAAATATAACAAAACAAGCTAAAACAGTGAATCTACTTAAAATAACGTACTGGCAATTTAACGTGAAACTAGCTTTTCCAACAGCGTCGCGTTCAACACTGCGACGGTTCAATATGAATCAATCAAGTACACTCCCAACGACCTTATCGCTTGTACCTATTTATGTAAGTCCGAAACTCACTCCAACGTACAAAATGATTCAATAGGTAATATTACATTATAGTGGTTACACGTTTACCTACACACTAGCGTATTGACGTTCGGGGAAGGGTAAAATTAAATAACAATTATAATAAATTATTTACTACAATCGGTTATCGGCTAGGTTGGGTACCTACGCCCGATAAGAATTAATATACAGAGGGATCCGCGAGTCCGATCACGTCCACCACTTACAATAATATTATTGTCGGTTCCGTCACTTGGCCTACAATAATAATAATTGTTTTCGATATTATTAAAATTTTCCACTATATGGCATGACAATGGTGATAACCAAATGGCGAAACCGAGGTAACCGAAACGGATGTTCGCAAAATGCAAAACATCATGTTACAAATTACAATATAAAAATACAATTTTACTTGCACATCACGTATATAATATCAGTAGGTAATATAATTAACCGTCCTACTGTTTTATTTTTGTAAACAGATAAGTCGGCGGACCACAGAGTAGGTAAACAGTACAATTAATATTTCGTGCAGTGTGCTAGGGAAGTCGTATATAAGCTAATGTTATAATATATTTTTTGGTACCAATAACTAAAAACACAGTTTTTAAATTAAAACTATAATTGTAGAATAATAAACGTTTTACAAAGCGTGATCAAGACATGTGTCGTTAATGATAAAAACCGTCAAGTATTTGGTACATTTTGGTTGCCTTAACATTCAAAATGTGAGTGAACGTTTCTTGGTACGTCTCTGAGTACCTATTTAAAATATGACGTCTTATTAAAACTATTAATGAACTCATAAACTCACAAAAGTACAATGGTAAAAATTAAACAAGTCTTGTTCTTATCTGCATCGTATTGTGTACTTTGTTTCCAATATTATTTCAATTCAAGTTTTAGGCAATGTATAGAAGTTAGAACCAATGTAAAATAACTATTATCTAATTAAATATCAGTTTTCCCTTGTACCCATTAGACAATAGGTAGTATACACCCCGTTTTCATAAGGAAATCTAAAAACTTCTTAATTTACCTAGACGGGCGAGGTAAGTAATCTTGCAGAGCAAAAATGAGAGATATTTTTACTGAATAATCTTTCCATTACGGCGGTGTTAATATGGAGTAGCTACCGAAAATATAGCCAAAGATTCTTTTGCTAGTAAAATCAATTAGTCGAGACTGAATAAAATAACAAACCACTTATAAATTCTCAAAATCGTCGAATTGCCCTAATTAGGACCTTAAGTGGTCCCGATTTTCTAATGAGTGTGCAAACAAATTTGACATTAATTCTTAAAAACTGAACGCTCAGAGGATTTCTCTATCAAACTGTATTGTAAAACAACGACATTTCGTTAAGCCCCTTATAATATTATATTAAGTAATACTATCAACGCAAGTTTGGGAAATTTCACGATCATAAATCATGTATAAAACAAACATAATATTATAATAAACAATTTAAATCATTTTTTTTATTATTTTAAAATACGAGTGTAAACTGAGCCCCTAACCAAAGTACTCTATAAAAAATATATATTTTACAAAAAAAAAAAAATATCCTGTATTTATAGTTTTCTAAGATATGACCAATAAAATATGTATACGCTATCATGGCTTTGAAACAAAGAGCAAAAAAATAATAGCAAAATAATAAAAAATATTTGCCATTTAAGATTAGTATTAAATATGTTTGTCAAAACGCCATAATATTTCTTATTTAGGTCACATATAGTGTTGAGTGAAATTTGTATAGTACACAGGAGTACTTCGTCAATTATTGTTTCGTACCTATCTTTGTCAATTTTACAATCGTTTATTAAGTGTCTTTAATGAGCTGTTAAATTTTTAATGAAGTTATAATGTATAAAATTAAATTGTAACTAAATGTGATCTGTTATTAGCTAATTAAATTTCAATGAACCGTTAATTAATAAAACTATTATTGCCAATTTTCGTACACGTTTGAAAATAATGCATTAGTTAATATAGTAAGAGTTAAATACAACTTAAAAAAAAATTTAACATATTTTATTTATTTATAATATATCATACGGTGTGGTTAAGGCTAATTAAAAAATAAACTTTTGCGTTTCTAAAGTGACATTTAATAATTTACTTTTAGAAGATTTTGAAGAAAATAGTTCCACGCCAATTATTTTCTGGGATCTTTAGAAAATAAAAGATTAGGACAAACTAGTAGGAGTTAATAACATTAAGCAACTGTAATTTTGTTGGGAATTTCCTTGAATTTGAAAAGAGAGGGCAAAACTTTTGGTTACTTTTAACTATCTAGTTACTAGTTTGATTTCCAATACACAAATTCTGGTCTAAAATTAAAAACCGTTCATAATGTTCCAAGAGATTTGAACACAGCGCCTTCTGACACAGATATTAAAACATTGTTAATTTTTCGTATTTCAGAGTCTTTGACAGACTTAATTAATTTGTTTTTTATCCTTTTTATTGGATATTAATTATTATAATTTTGTTATTCCTGTCAGAAGGTATATTATGCATAAATAATAATACATTTTAGATAGATGGATTGTTAGATAGATAGATAGATTTTATTATATATGATATTATGTCCGTTTTCTAATCATAAAATGACAAAATGATGCTTATGCCAAAATTATTAAGGGGCAAAGGATAGGCAATATTTAACAAAAGTTAATCTTGTAGCCAAAATAATTATGCTGACAAACTTTAAGGTGAAAAATATTAAGTTTTTCTAGTTATTAATCTTTTAAAGTAATTTTCACTTAGTTGTTGCGAAATTTTGATAAAAAATGACTTTTAGAAGTCATTTTGTGGTGTCTCTATTGAACGGATTGCAATTTTTTGTTATATGAAGCTTACTATTTTTCAATTGGAGCTATAAAGCCAATTTTTTATTTAGCTTTTAGAAAATTAGTTAGATTTATTAGAGAAAACTATAAGGAAGTAAAAAATATAAATGCTTATAGAAAAATTTTGAAAACAAAAATAATAAATCGACCTTTTAGCCCCTATAGAAAAGATGTTAAACTTTATAACAAAACTTTTTTTTTAATCAGTTCGGTAGACAGAAATGACTTCGCGTTTTAGTTTCCATTTGTATAAAATTTGGCACTTTTCGTTCCCCTTAACAATAATGTTTTATGCGCTATGTTGTTTATACCTTTGTAAACCACCGTGAAATACTTCTTTCTAATAAAACATGTAATTAGTAATTAGGTACTAATGATATTTATTATTATCGCAAACAAAAACTGATATATTCTATAAAATTAGGGTAATAATATTCAATATCATTGTTGAAATATAATACGTTTTATAATCAATAGTTTGGTAGAGATATTATTTTTAAAAAGATATAGTTGATAATGGGGTTACCTAAGAAGAAATGATTAATGACCACTGAGACCTTAGTCAAGGGCCAATAGAGATTTATTACAACTTGTTTTGAGATAATTTTGCTTAAATTAGACTTTATTTACCGAGTATAATATCTTAGTTGTTAATTCAGTTATATTAGGTTTCAATTTGCTGGTGTGGTGCGGCGGGAATCCTTTTACAAATTATAAAAACAAAATAGAATTAAATGTGTCTCGGTGTGAATCAGATGATTAATGACAATACATGAGGTCTTCTCATTCATCATTGTTTTAGTACATTTTGCAAATTGAACTGCAAATAACAGCTATGAAATAATTACCATACCAAATATCGTCATACGCATAATATGTTCACCACGATATTTGTGACAGATATACATGTGTAATGTGTATGGACTCTGTTGGAGATAGAAAATTAAATTAATTTTAATAATGCTTGCACCATATTCCGAGTATTATTTTAAATTCCGCATTGAACTCAAACTATTTCTATTAACAAATCAAACAATCTTAGTATATATATTATGTTGATTTCTACTCATAATATTAGTTTTATGTACTAATATTGTGTATAATACTATCATTTTGGCGATTGTATTTTCTGTTATAGGTAATAAAATATATAATACCAATACTAATACTATAAATATTACTATTAATATTAAGACTACCAATAATATATAATTGTTAAATACATATATTTTTTTTTCAACAAATTGTTTGGCTAAGTTTGCTATGGCGAAGATTTTTAAAATCTCGATTAGGAAATGTACAATGGTCTTTAATAATGACCCATTCTATCTCCTATTCATCAAAATAAATTCGATAAGTTCCAGCTCATTAGTGATTTTCTTTCTTTTAATGGCCACCTTGCTAGAGCATTGGTCCATTTGTAATTGTACCATTCGAAAGATTTAAGCTACTCTACACCGGGCAATTTAGTCCCAAAATTCAAAGATCCAGTTCAATTAATAACCCGAATGCTTTGGGAGGAACCCAACCAAATAAGATTAGTGAGGAGTAATCGTATAAGATTTTGTATCGTGCCATGAGGACGGAACTTAAACCCGAAAATTACCAATTGGGGAAAACCTTGTTGTACTACATCTTATACTTAAGCAAATTAGTACACTAAACGTTTGACCGCTTTCAGCAAAAATAAATACAACGAAGGATTCCGTTACGTTTATAGTTTAGGAAATACGGTTTTCAGTTGAATGTGTTTTTTTATTCAAAACTGAAGATTAGTTCCCTAGTCTTTCCAGCAGTGAATAGACTAAAACAATCAAAGTCTTGATGAATTCAATGGCAAACTACATAACAGAAATACTACTTGCATTCCAAATTATTATCACTAGGTAAGTTGCGCCTAAACATAAAAAAAAAAGTCTCGAAAGGGTCACAACTTACTTGCAACATAAATGTTGACATTTTTACAACGCTTAGTTGTGTTCCTTATAAATTGTGAACTAATTGATTAAAAATTAATATAGGTACTTATAAACCTTGCATATATGCTGATATAAATTATTAGTTATAAATACAATAACATATATTGAACCATTGATTATAACGCCATTTCCATTTGGCATTTACATTACTTTTACTGCACCATCGAAAAATAGCCCAGTGGACTATCTATTGTATTTATAATCAATGATTAAACTAAT